ATATATATATATATATATATATATTTACTTTACACCCTAATGTAACTGATTTAGATCTAAATCAAAGAAATCATGCAGAATTTACATCTAAATTCTGCTTGATTTAAATGATGCAATGATAAAGTCTAACTCTTGCTTTTTCGCAGGTTGAGAACAATCTGGGCATGAAGGTGATGAGTCACAAAGGACTATGGCTAAGTCAAATACTCCCATTTACTTGTTTTTAAGGGTTGTATAAAACTTGTGAAAGCATCTGAGAGTGGATACTGGAAAATTATAGATAGAGGGTTAAAAAATATCTGAGCAGTCAAGGGTCTGATGATAATAACACAAAATGCCACAGATTTATTGGCATAATTCTTCTTTCTGCTGCTAAAAGAAAACAGCTCTAAGGCAAACGACATCTTCCTCACAAGCCTCCCATTATTGAAAGTCTAACTAGAATTCTTTCCTAGAACTGTCACTACATTATTTATTTGTGCAGTTAAATTCCACCATAACACCTTTAGTCACAGTCAACACTTCAAAGAGGATTAATTGTGTAAAAATGAGAGTGTGGTTTTGAAGAGGATGGGGTGATAAGGTCAAGCCCTCAAACACTTAGCACACACTTAAACTGCAAGTGATAAAAGCTTGAGATGTAATGGAAATTCAAGTTGGTTCTCAGACGTCCCTGTAGTTATTGGCATCAATTTCCAAAGCTGTTTACAGTACTTCACCAATTAGTGACCTTTTGTTTACTGAAACACAAAACTTTAATGTTCGTATAAAGACTCTCTGGTGTAATGGTTATGTTTCATCAAAAAAAAAAAAAAAAAACTTCTAAGTGAGACCCTGATTGTTCTGGAGAATGTAGGCAACAAATAAAAAAGGTTTGCTGCAGAATGCAAGAATTGTTAAAGATACCAAAGAGACCAAATGAACAACCACAACTGAAAAGGCCAGACGACTACAAAATGAACTCAAATGTCCTGCAGCAAATTCCAAAACTCAGTCTAAATCAGAATTGGGGCAGGGTTTAAAAATTTCCTTTCATTCATCATCTGCATGCAACAAAGCAGAGCATTTTAAACAAAAGGACTGGTGAATGTCTCTAAAGGAGCCAGACTGACTTACATACAGTGTCCTGAAGAAAAGTTCAAGATGTCAGCATTGAAACTGATGTCTTGATATGTGCAAACATATTCATTGTGGTTTGTGTCAAAGTTGTTGTGTAGTCTTGTTAATTTCTCTGAACAATTTCTATCTCACTATAACATATTTTTTGGAAATGCATCAGATTTTCATATCTTCTATGTCCCCCTAAACTTTCCCCAATCATTTTTAAATATCTCTGTATCAGATTTTATATATAATGCGGCTATTTGAAGAAAATCTTAACACCCCATTAAATATTCAGTTATTTCAAAGAAACTAGTCACATACGGTTGGAATTTTTTTTTTTTATAATTGTCTTATATTTTTAACTCTACAAAAGAAAAACAAAACATTATTTAACACAGATGTGTGGTTAGTGAGGTTGCTACATCATCACATGTAATCTGCTAAAAAGTATGTTAAATAATTGTTTAGTAAACTTCTTTAGACTGATATGCTTGTGATTAAAAAAAAAGGATTAAAATAACTGTGGTCCTATTAACCCTTTGAAACCTGTCTGCAAACGTATGGATGCTTTCAGTAAACCATGGGCTGTTCTAGACAGGGGCCAATGGGGGCCAGTGCCCCTGTAGATCATGTCCTGGCCCCTTTTATGGCCCCTGTACTGAAGACATAATACTCAAAAAAGTTCTAATGATGATACGCACTGGAACAGATGCAGTTACTGATAGGTTCTTTGGATCTATTTCATTTTTTTTCTTTACAAATTCTGTTTTACTAATTAATTACTAAACATGAATCCTATTTTTTTCAAAAAAACAAAAACAAATACTTACATTTTTACAGCTGCATTTATTAGTTTTTCTTGAGTTCTACTTTAGATTTGATAGAAAATGGTCATTTTAACTGAAATAAAGTCAAAAATAAGTAAAATTCCTAAATTATGAATATATATTGACCTAATAAGACATAGAATTTTAATTACACCTAATTGAATAGAAGTTTAACTTCATGCAGTTCTCTTAATATATTTAAATCCCTTGCCCTGTGTTTTTTATTTTTTATTATTTAATTATTTTCTGTCCCCCCATGAAAGCAACACTGGCCCCCTCCTTGCCCCCTGGTACATTTTGGTCTAGAACCGCCACTGCAGTAAACTATCTGTACTGTTCGTGAAAGGTGGGCGTTTTATTTTCTTAAAAGAGCAACCAGCGTGGCACGTTTCATTCAGCCTGTTTCCTGGGAAGGATTTTATTCTGAAAGTGCTTACAAGAAGTAAGTCATTTTATTTCCTTAACTTGATCATATGGATTCATCCAGCAGCGCCACAAAAAGCACACAGCAGTCGTTGCCTCACAGTGATGAGGGATGACAGGAAACTAGAAAGCTCACATTTAACTTATGTTTTTATTTTTTAACATATGCTCAATATCCATCAGGGGAATATATCCAGTGGGATATTTTGTTGTTTGTGTGTTTTTAGTTTTTTATTTCTTATATTTCCATAACTGTATTTTAGAATGGAGACGCATCAGTTTATTGGGAAGGATCCGACTGGAGAGCTTTTACGCACCAAAAACCTCGGAGCGCGCCCTGAGATATAGACACATTTAAGCTGTTACTGCTCTGAGGACTGAACAATGAAGTACGGACTGGTGGTGCTCTCGGCTGGGCTTTCTGGTTTGCTAAGCTTTACCTTCCTTGCTTTGGCCATCGGGACTGATTACTGGTACATAATCGATGGAAATAAACCCAATCACACGGGTCCAAACGACCTAAGTTCACACTCTGGATTGTGGAGAATCATTGAAGGTTTGTGCATTTGATATTCAATTAGTAATACGATTATAAATGCATCAGATTATTTATCTTTCACAAAATATCAACCTTTAATTATCGCGGAACTTTGTCCTGTAATTTGCAATCTTTAGAGGACTTTCATTACTTAACATTTTTCTATTCAAGCAGATATAAATTGAATAAATGTATGAAATACATAAATTGTGGATTTCTTAAAACACATTTTTTTTTTGATCACCTTTTTCATTTTTTTTTTGCTGTTTTTTTTATTGTTTGTGGTGATGCTTAAACACTCTAATCATCAGCATCTCTCAGCCCCTGATTAGACTCTCATCTTCTCGCTGTGCAGAACCCAGGTGCAGAAACAGCCAGATCACCCCTTTTTTTTCATGTGACCAAGTCTAAAATATATATGGAAGCTACTTAAGTGAACTCCAGTATAGTAGCTTTTGTGGGCATTGTGTTTAATGTGCAAAATTCTCAACATTTATCACTGAGCTTTTTCTTTCAATATCATGTCGTAGCCTAAAGGTGAGAAAAGGGATGTTTTGTGAGTGCTGTAATGTATCATGCTTTTAGTCTGCACAGTTTGTGGTCCTTAATGTGTTTAATTGGTTGCTGGTTACACCCACAGTTCTTGGAATAATAGGGAATTACCAACATGAAGCTTTTTATCTGATCAATAGCTGAATATGAAGGGACAGGAATTCTCTGTGTAACACAAACACACTGGGCTGTTTTAAATAGAAAATGGTGGCCAGATTCCTTCTCATTTATCTATTTTTTTTCTTTCATTCTTTTAGTTTTGTCCCCTAACTCTGTCACATAACCTTTTCCTCTGACATTTTCAGGTGCAAATATGAGTTCGGTCATTTCCTCTTTCACGGCTAATATGTCCAGTCTATCAGATACAGAGAAGCATCTTCTAGGTGAGTCTCTTTTCATAAACAGTTGACCAAAAACTTGACCTAAAATGGCTTTTGCACGTAGGCACAATTATCTAAAAGGTAATTTCTTTCAAGTCTGCTTTTAGTAATTTATCTCTGTTGACCAATAAACATTTTTTAGTAGGTTGAAGTTCATTTCATTTTGGATATTATCAGTCTATTCAAACCGCTATGGCAGTTGTAATGCAATGCAGTTATAAGGTACCGTGTCATAATGCATATGTATTTGGTTGCAGCGTAGTCCATGTGTGTGTGTCCTAGCTTAGCTGTGTTTTCTTTGACTGTGTGACAGAGTGTCCTGAAAGCAACAGCCATTTTCCAGTATTGCTGTAAGCCGTTGATGGTACATGATCTAAGCATTAGCAGAAACTCTTGATTCCTTCTTTTGGTTGAAAACAATAGATGGTTACCGCACAATGTTGCACATGTACATGAGGCATGCCAGTAAAAAACTTAAATATTCCACCAAACACAGGTGGCATGTCAGTAAAAAAAAAGTGGAATATGCAAAAAGATAGATGTTTCATGACAGAAAAAAAGTTGAATTTGCAACCAGATGAAAGGGCAATGCCAGTACAAATGTGGAGCATGCCACCAAACACAAGTGGCATGTCAGTTTAAAAAAATGGAATGTGCCACCAGATAGAAGTGGCATGCCAGGTTAAAAAAAGTGGAATATGCCACCAAGCAGAAGTGTGATGGAACTGGAAATTTTTGTAACTGCCATTTTAAGTTGTGTAACTTTATTCTAAAGTTACTTATATAAGTGGCAATAGTTTTAAAGTGGCATAGGAGTTTTAAAACTGGCATACCAGTTTCAGTGGCATTAAAAGTAGCATTTGCATTTTTGAAAGTGCCATGCTAGAGGTGCTGCTGCATTTTGGATTTTAGTTATTTCATCAGTGTACAGAGGTAGATTAGGTAGATGGGTTTAGGGTTTCTGACTAGCACAGTGTTCATTGAAACATTTTGGATGAATGAGCAATTGTTAAGTCCTGCTGGAAAATGAAGACAATTTCACCACAACCTTGTCAGCAGAGGGAAACATTAAAGGCTGAAACACTTCCTGGTTGACAAGTGTACTGACCTTGGACTTGATCAAATAAATTTGACCTACACCAGCAGGTGTAGGTCAAATTTATTCAACCTGGATCCTCAAGTGTTTCAGATTCTGCGCCTCTGCTTTCTGCCTCCACACTCTTTAACCATGTTGAAATTGAGAATTTAACAGTCCATTCTTTTTTCCCCTAACCCAGGCAGTATGCTTCCAAAGTATTTTGCACATAATTTATGGAAAGAAAAAAAAAAACGAGTACTTTATCCTCGCCCACAGTCCACATCTTGTGATTCCCTCCAAGAATCTTTAGTGGCTTTTACCCCTCAAAGCTGCAGTTATCTTGGTGCTCGTATAACCTTTTTCTTATACAATTTCTTCTTCCGCTTTCCATTAGTATACCTATATAAAACTCTACATAATTTTACTGTTGCGCATCAAAGTCAGTATTCTGCCTGGTAACTGTGTAGAGGAATTTGTTGTTGTGGTAGCTGTTGTTATGTGCTAATATACCTTAAATTCTGTATTTTATATCCATAAGCTATAATTGTATAACAAAATAATATTTATGAATTTTATTACTCTGCGTCTAGAAAATCTTAGTTCACATTTTTCCAGATGGGTCATTAAATACTTTCTCACAATATTCTTATTTACAGAGATTAACCTGGACTATGTTCACCAGATAACAATACACCTACAGGGAAATTCTGTGGAGGAACAGTGGTTTGCACTGTCCTCAGATTCGATCAGGGTCCACAGGGGTTTCAAAGAGGCCTTGTTTACAATCTATCTAGAGATAGCATTAAATTATTTGCCGAATGGCTATGTCAGTCATGCTGGTTGATTATCCTCTACTGACAGTAGAAATAAGAGCCCAAAGAAACCCCCGATAAAATCAATTTGGAAGTGTCTGGTGCTTTTACACTTGATTGCACACAGTATTACTCGCAAATACAGTAGTTAAGTTCAGACTGTCTTAACAAACCCCCCCACATATTTCTGTGTCCTGGAAATGTGAATCTTTGCAGGCCTGCACAAAGTGGTGGTCATTGTTCTGCCTCTCAGCCTGGTCCTCCTGGTGTTAGGATGGATTTTTGGGCTTGTCAGCTCGTTGGCCCGCAGTCCCAAGTTGCTGGCTGCATCGGCTTGCTACTTTCTGCTCTGCGGTAAGTTCACCCACAGGTCTTGAAGTGCTGCTAAGCTTGAATTTTTGATGATTGCTTTGTATGTAGGCTACACTAAAGTCGAATACGTGGCAAAAACCATCCTTAAAGTAAACACAGAAAAGGGTTAACGAGTGAAAAGGACCTTGAAAATTCAGTTTCGGTCTCTCTATTGTGAGAAATATTCTTGAGTAGACTGACTGTGATGGAAAAAGCAGTTTTAGTTATACAAAGGTGTAAAGAAAAAATGTTTCAAAAAAAAAAGTATTTTTGCAATTTGCAGACAAAGAAATCATAGTTCATTTTGACATGTTTATTTTTGCCTGTTGTGCTGTGTCAGTGGGTGATGATGATAAATTATTAGGGTAAGATAAGCCATATTAATTTCCTTAAGTGACTGTGTATCAAGAGAATAACAAACTAATGAGCAAAACAAAATAATGGCTTACAGAGTTTGTGAGCACCTCATTACTCCCAACCCTCAAACGCTGTTGTTGCGTTATAAAAGAATTGTATTCAGTCTCTACAAGAAGCTGACACTGCTCCAGCATATTTTTGCATGTGAAGATTACCTGAGTTCTGTTTACAATGGAATTGTTTAAGTATGTACACATATGTTTTTTGTTCCTAGAATAGCCACAGCTAAATCTGTATTCCCTCCTGCATTTTGCTTAATTTGTACTGTTTCCAATCAAAAGGATTTCCAAAAGTTATATCACTGAGATAAATTGGTACTGTAAGCCTTTCATTTTCAAAGTTTTAATCATCATAATGTTGACTTTATTTCCCCCTAATTAACTGTTAGATTGTTTTGGAAGAAAGTCTGTTGTTGCTTGGTTAAGGTCTTGCTTATAATTTTTGCTACATTCTTTTTTATGTTATGTCCCAACTTGAAGCTCATTTAAATTCATGTCCATCGTCGAAATTGGAAAAAGATGTATTAAAGAAGGGCAGAAAAAGTATAACAGCCAAGACAGTCAGTGTACCTGTGAAACTGTGAACTGAAACGTCAGTACGTAACAGACTGAACTAGTGACAATGAAGGCACCATCTCAAATGTGGGTTCAGAAAGAGAACATTTACATGTGATTCATCACGTAATAAGAAAGAAGAGAAATACGAAGTACAGTAGCCTTGAGAATTATCAACTCTAATGGATACAGAATGATTTTCAAGTGCTCTGTGAGGACCTAATGCTGCCTATAATTTAACACAGGGATGAATGTAACTCCAGGCATCACAATTTTACCAGCACTCAGGTAGGCGTTACAGTCTTCACTCCAGCACTGTTACTCTGATGCCCACAAGCAAAAGAACTGCAATTTTCCAGAAATTACCAATATCTCAATAAATTTTAGAGGCATGCAGTAATTGTGCAAGCCTTAAATTTTTCAAATTAATCAGCTTATACTTTATTAAAATCAGTCCTTATTTTAACCAATATTTCACCTATTGTGCATGTTTTATTCTTGAGTTTAGGTGAATTACAATAATGCACTCCAAAAACACCCCCTGTCTAATGATAATTTTCTACCCCAATATAAATAGTTTAACCTAAAGCATTTATCATAAAGCCTTGTGCCACATATCTAAGACAGCATCTTCAGATAAATATGTTCTTGGCTATATGTTATGAAATCATAAACACTGGTGGTGGCCTAGTTGGCCTGGCTGTCAACTCCCCTGTAATGTTGACTTCTACTATGCACATTCTATTCCCTTGCTTTTATTGTGTTATTTAAATTTAAGATGTGGATATTTTTAATGATCCATGTGGCAATAAACCTTTCCGAGTGTGGTTACTGAAGGGGAAGTGTCCTCCCTACCCACGTTTACCCACCCACAGCTCAATGAATTCTGAAGTGGTACCATTTGAAAAGACTTACTGAAGCCTTAACAATAAGCAGACATATATTCATAAGCCATATTTCTGTTTAGAGGTCTTTCTTTGTTTGTTTAGATGAATAACATAATGTGAGGTGAGCATTCTCAGAGGCTGTCAATCCAAAAAAACATGTAATATGTTGAAGTGCCTACCTGGTTTAGTGTTTTCTTACTAAAAAACATTTTTATGTGTCAGAAAATATATATTTTTTAAATTGTTTGTCCACGTTCCACATCAATGGAAAAGCTGAATAAGGATCAATTTTAACGTATTTATGGAAACAGTTGGATACACCAGATGAGGACTGCAAGATGGTTTCTGAAGATGCTGCTTATTTTAAGGCCCATTACCAAAAAAACACTTCAGTGTGGATAATGGCTTAATTGACTTGTTGATGACTGCAGTTTCACAGTAACACTTCACAATATATCTTTGTGAAATATCTGAGTTTTTCTTAAATAATAGATCCCTTTATTATCTTTCAATTTTCCCCCAAATTAAAATGTATGTGTATTGTTTGTGTCAGGGTTGGGTGGAAGTTGGTTGAGGACCCAAATCCAGAGATGAGTTCTTGCAGATTTAATGTTATGTAGTTGGCAGCAGAAATACAAATCCAGGAACAATAAACTAGAAATCAAAACCAGGAGACACCAGGTAGCAGTATTGTTTTCGTCAATGATGATGATGATGATGATGATGATGATGATGAAATTATTTCATTGACGCTCCTTTTTTCATGATGGCAAAAACTTTACGACTCCTGGGTATGAGTTTTCCTCAACGAGACAAAATATTAGCGGGTTGTCAGTCAGACGTTTAAAAGGCATAATTGTGCTTTAATCTGTTACACAAGCTAAGCAGTATCAGCTGTGCTGCTGTGACTTGTTTGGTCATGCAGCCCCCCTGGCGTGCAAAGGTGCACATTCTCCTTGACCACAGCTGGACCATGGCAGCAGCAGCACGGGAGAAAATAACCTGGAATTGCGTGTGCTGAACTCTGACTACCTGTTCTTCCAGCTGTGGTTGTGCAGAAATGCGTCTTTGCGTGGCTTAGCTCAGAATCTGCACTTTTCGCTCCATGCTGATGGTTCTTCCTTCTCTTGCTACTTCATAAAGTATTTAAGTGATCATCCTCTGCCAAGCGCAAAAAATCCCTTTGACTAACTAAGATTCTATTTCTTCCAACTCACAAGAAGCTATACTAAACATTCTTTCATTTCTACCAAAAGGAATCCCTAAATTATATCCAAAGAAAATATTTAATTGCATACTTTTTTATTTTTGGATAAAGAGCCAGGTGAAAAGGCACATAGATCTTTAAATATTTCTCTGTTATTGTTCTCATTTCTATCTATTTAAATGTGATGTAAATGTTTCCTAGTATTGATATTAAAACATTTCCTCCGTTTCCTTTAAATATTTCAACATTTTAATTAAGATATTCAATCGATTTAGGTCTGTTTTGAAAAGACATTACAAGGCAATTATGTAGGTTCTCTCTGTATTTTTTTATGTGAAAAGGAAGTATTTGCTTTGAGATGGAAACCTTGTATGTCTAAAACCATCCCTTTATTGTTCATTTTGTTAGCTTGTGTGTCTTCTACATTAACCAACATAATGTGTTGAACTAGATTTGCTATTTTCACAACGTTTGTGACACACTTTTGTATAAAGTAGGGCATTGCTTCATAAAAAAATTTTTTATTTGAATTCTGCAAATAAAAGGTTGCCATGATGAACTGCACAGCAGCATTGTATCTCCAACAATTGTAGTATCTAGGCTGTCAGTTTGGTAAATAATCTGGTTGTTATTCAAAATTGTAGAGGTCAACTTTTTTTTTTTTTTTGCCATATAAAACTGACTAAAACCTTATTAAGTTTTAGTCCACTAAAACCGATTTAAACTATCACATATCGTAATGACTAAAACTAATAATAGTTTTCGTCCTGAATCTAAGATGGCTGTCAAAAAACACCACTGCCAGGGAAAACCACACATGAAGATCAAAGAAATGAAGAGAAACCAGCAGTGAGGAACTGCACAGGAGGTGTATATATATGGGAGACAGAACAAAGACTGGGGTAATCAGCTAATAGGGAGCAAGTGTGGATAGAAGTAGCTAGAAGCTACAGTAGGGGAAAGGAGACTGGCACAAAGGGACAACAGAGAGCAACACAAAAAACACAACACTGCGTACATATAACCAGAAAACAACTACAATGACACAAAATGGAAAAGAAACCAATTACCAAGAAAACACAGCATGACATAAAAATATAAACTCAAACAGAAACTTCAACTGAACCAAAAAGTCCACAAAGGGCAGAATCGTGACAGTTCTATATTAGGTCCTGCCTCTATACCATTGCATTTAGATAAAGATAATTATAGAATTATGGCTCTTGTTTTTTAGTGTTGATATTTGAAAAAAAATATCTTCTTTCAATAGAAATACAATTGTATGCAGGAAGAAAATTTACTTTACAGGTTGGATGAAAAAGGCATTTTCCCACCAGCCATACTATAAAACTTAGATTTTCTTTCTGTCGAGTGACACATTCCAATTTTCAATGGAGGCAATAAATACAGCAGAGCACAAAGATTGTCCGGAAATTTCAGGATACACCATGGGTGTTACTGAAATAGAAAAAAAAAAGATGCTGTCTAAAAGCAAAAATATCGAAAAACAAAAACTGAAGGACCTAAAACAAACCAGGTGGTATTTTTAACAACCTTGCCCATTCATACGGTTTTATTATACCCCCCAACCCCGCCCCGAGATCCCGCTGATATACCTAGTTAGAGTCATGTTCAAACCACATCAAAGTACCTTCAAACGCTGAGCTCTCCCACCTTCAAAACACCAGTAAACAGAAAAAAGTGAGGTAATGCATTATGGTATTTTTGTGCTGCTTTTATCACGTTGTTTAATGCATTATCACATTTTGATATGTTCCTGTCAGAGATTTGGGGGAGGGTTGTGTCATTTTGCAGTCCCTCTTTTACCACCACTATCATACACAGAAAAAATATCTCTATATTTTAAACGAGCCTAGGTGACCATGAGATGACGGAACATTCTTCTTTTCCAATGCTTTATAGTCAAATAAGGACCAT